ATTAACTTCGAACTTCATTTGTTCTAGGGTCTCCATGTGATCCAAACTTCCTTCTGGCCTGTGTTCCCTGCAATGTGATCTGTGCTGTCATTTTCCAGCGTCGTTTTGACTACAATGATGACACTTTCAGAGGCTTCATGAAGAAATTTCGAAGAAATATTGAAATTTTAACATCTCCTTGGGTCAAGGTGAAGTTGTTTTATTTATATGTGGTGGTTTGACTAGGAATGCCCCCCCTAGACTCCTGTGTTTTAATGCTTTTTCCATTGAGAGTGGCACTATTAGGAGGTGTGGACACTTTGGAGTAGGTGTGGCTTTGTTGGAGGAAATGTGTCACTAGGGTGTTGGCTTTGACTTCTCAGATGCTCAAGTCACACTCAGAGTATCGATGTCTTTTCCTACTGCCTGCTGATCCACATTAGAACTCTTAGCTCCTTCTCTAACACCATGTCCACTTGCATGCTGGCATGCTTCTCACCATGATGATAATGGACTAAACCTGTGAAACTGTAAGTCATCCCCAATTAATTGTTTTCCTTTATAAGAGCTGCTGCTGTAGTCATGGTGTCTCTTCACAACAACAGAAATCCAAACTAAGCCATTATATGTGAAAATACTATGTGACACAAGTCTATGCCTTCACTGTCCAAAAGCTAATACTCAGGTTATGAACTTTGTGCATCAGAAATCAGGTTTGAAGGGCTGGAACTCTGAGAAAATGTGGGTAGTTTTCACCTTCAAAAAAGAGGCCATTTGAGTAAACTCTGGACTATGAAATGTCTTCTGCAGGGTGTTGAGGGAGTAAGAAGCTGAGCACTGACTGGTGCGTTCTGTTCTATAACTGTCCCCTTTACTGGAGGATCTGTTCTTTTCCTCTTTGACTCTCTTCTTTCTTTTCATCCTTTCCTCCTTGCCTTCCTTATTTATTTATTTTCTGTTGGAATATACTTGCACAAAACTGATTTTCACCTGTTAGGTGATTTTTGTAACTATTTAGCCAAACACATCCTCGCATTAGTTCTCCATTTAAAGCCCACTATTAGCAATCCCATGGCTCACATATTTTAACACAGCCCATGGGAGGTTAATATATTGGTATGCTTTGCAATCTGAAATGTTTGTATTATTATTTTCTGTAGGTTTCAATATATAGCCCAGTCTAACCTTGAACCCATGATCTATCTGATTCAGTCTCCTGAGAAGCAAAAATTACAGATATGTTCCGGTTTAGTATTAGCATTTTAAAAATGATTTTATTTTAACTAATGTATCTACCTGAGAACATGTGCATGTGTGAGTGCAGGTGCCCTTCATGTCTAGAAATATGTGTTGAATTTCCTGAACTTAGGGTGATAGGTGGTTATGAGCTGTATGACATGGGAGCTTTGAACTGAACTGGGGGCCTCTGTAAGAGGAGCACATGTTCTTAACTGCTAAACCTTCTCTCCATGTCCACTACTAGTTTATATTTTTTAGAGGCAACTAAATTTCTGGGTATAGTGATATAGCCTTGGCTACATAGTAATGTTGAGGCCAACCTGGGATACAGAGTGAAACTCTTTCACAAACCATATTTCCAAACAGACAAACAAACAAGAACAAAACAACAAAGAAAATGGCAACCAATCATATGTGAAGATGGTTTGAATGTTTTTTTGTTTCCTCTTGTTTACAAAATTCCTAGGGTATTTATTGTTCATTGTTATTTATTATGATTCCTAACCAATTTTTGAACTTGATAGTTGATAGTTGATACTCCAGTTCATAATGAAGGGGCAAAGATAATATAAGATAGACTACAAAGAAATGTATTATCAGTAGGCTTCAGTTTTATCAAAGTATTTATTTTGGATAACAACAAAAACAACCCTTTTATGATTTTGTGAATGTTTGGGGATAAAGCTTCAGGCTACAGAATTCATTTCTTACTATGGTACATCGTCAGAAAATGTTTTGAACCTATGCTGTACAACCATGAAGAACAAATGTTTCTATAGATTACAAGGGCAATATGTGTTCCACAAAACAAGGGCCATCGAGGGCAAATAGTTTACTCCCTTCAGTATTGGGGCAATAAATTTGAAACTAAACAATATGAAGCACATTACCCAAAGCAGCTCTGGCTTGCTTTCTTTTTATCAAAAGAGTATATTTAATATTTTACTTTCATTTGTAATAAGATGGCAGTTGAGTATAGAATGTCCCTACTTTATACTTTTCCCAAATTAAAAAAGTTATAGATGTTAAACTGGGAATATTTAAAAAATATATGTATGTATATGTATAATTGAGATTATAATCACATCAGTTTCTCCTTCCCTTTCTTCCCTCAAACCTTCCTATATATTTGTCCCCCCTGTGCTCGCATTCAAATTCAAGGTGTCTTTTTCTTTAAGTGTTTATATATATATATGACATGATTAGGCAAATTCATTAATAATGGCTTTGAGCTTCTCACATTATTAACCAGAAAATTAATCGACCTCTTAACCCTTTATAAAAAGTAAAGACTGGAATTTGTTCATACTGTTGTCTTGACAGTCATCTCATTCTATTACAATGAACACAGCACTGGAATACTTTCTGAGAGGGAAAGAATGAAGGATGTGATCATTTGCTGGGTCAGCACCATGTGACTGAGAAGTCCACCATCACAGCTTATCTGGTGCAGCTACAAAGGCCTCCTTAAAAGTGTCCTTGCTCTTGTTTTGGCTGTTGGGTTGGTAAAGAATTTGAGGAGCTCCTGTAGGACTGGATGGAAATAGACCTGAAATGCCGGACTTTGCTTCTGATGTACTGTTTATTAATTGCAGCAAGTTTTGGATCCCTGATGATTTTTAATTTAAATTAAAAATAATTACATTATTTTCTTCCATTTCCTCCCTTCAACCTCTTCCATGTCCCCACCACACTTCTCTTTCTCAAATTCATAGCCTCTTTAAAAAATTGTTTTTATATATATACACATATATATGTGTGTGTACATTAAATGCATACATATATAAGAATCATATCAATATATAAGTAAAACCTGCTGAGCAGGTCTGTTTCATATTGCTTATATGGATATAATTTCAGGCTGACCACTTGGTGTTAGGTAACCACTTAGGAGACATCCCCCGAGAAGACTATTTCTCCCTCTCCCAGCGTTCCTCACTTATTTTGAGTGGAATCTCATGAGATTTCTCCCTTCCACTTCACCGTGTCTGTTGGCATTGCAATTTTTAGGTGACTGGAGAAATATGCACAGGATAAACAGGGAGAAAGACTGCTTTCATCCCTGCTATTACTTATTTGTTGTCTGAGAAATTTTGACTAGTCAAAATTCTGTATGTTAGTGTTCTCAGTAGGACAGAGGGGACAGTGGGATTATCCCACACAACCTTTGGAAATCTGCTATCAGGAAATGAATGTGATCAGAAGTTGCTTCCCAAGCTGTGCACATGGCAGCTCTAACCATTTGACCCATGTGGTGGTATTGTGTTCCCCAAAATATTGTGTACTCTAATAAATTTATCTGGGGTCAGAGAACAGACAGCCACTAGGTACAAAGGCTAGAAAATGGTGGCACTCACACCTTTAATCCTAGCATTCCAGAGATAGAAATCCCTCTGGATCTCTGTGAGTTCAAGGCCACTTTGGAAATAGCCAGGCATGGTGACTCACGCCTTTAATCCCAGGAAGCCAGCCTTTAATCCTAGGGAGTGGTGGTAGAAAGCAGAAAGGTATATAAGGCTTGAGGACCAGAAACTAGAGGCATTTGGCTGGTTAAGCATGTGGCTGATTAAGCATTCAGGCTTTTAAGCAGCAGTTCAGCTGAGAGCTATTGGGATGAGGACACAGAAGCTTCCAGTCTGGGGAAACAGGAACAGCTGAGGATCCGGCGAGGTGAGATAGCTGTGGCTTGTTCTGTCTCTCTGATCTACCAGCATTGACCCCAATAACTGGCCTCAGGTTTGACTTTATTGATAAGAACTTTTAAGATTCCTGCAACAGACCCATGCTGTGCCTGCTCCTCCAAATGGCAGGCATCTAGAAGCACAGGAGGCATGTGAAACTCACCTTTATGACTGTTGGACAGACAGCTGTGTCCTGGAGGGGGCGCTGTTTGCACTAACGCAAGTTTCTTTCTCTTCCAGCTGTGCAGTGCATACCCTGTGTTATACTATCTCCCAGGAAGCCATAAAGAGTACATTAAAATTTGTACTGAAATAAAAGAGTTCATTTTGAAGGAAATAAAAAGGCATCAAGAAACTCTGAACCTCAACAGCCCTCAGGACTTTATTGACCACTTCCTGATTAAAATGGAAAAGGTACAAGGGACCCTGACTTACTTCTGCACATTTTTGTGCATTCTGACTCAGTTTTCCTTTTTCTCAGTGAAATTGGGATGTTCAACCTAATGTTCCTTCTAGCAGTATTCATTATTTGTCAAACCAATTTCCTAGGCAAGTTGTATAGAGTATTCAGAGATAATTAAGCTGGGCAGTGGTGGCACACACCTTTAATTGTAGTACTCAAGAGGTATAGGTAAGCAGATCTCTGTGAGTTCAAGGCCAACCTGGTCTACAGAGCGAGTTTCAGGATAGGCTCCAAAGCTACACAGAGAGACCCTGTCTTGAAAAAAGCCAATTTTTTCCTCAATTTATTTAGAATTAGAAATTCTATATTTCCCATATTCAAGGTTAGTTCTTTACTAACACATACAAATGAATTCAAGAATAATGAGAACATGTCATTATACGTAAAGAGACATCCATGAATAGCAGGTGTAAAGACTTAGGGAATACAGGACTTTTCTTTAGAGAGACTCTAGGAAGCCTTTGCAACTGAGCTCAGCCTTGAGGAAACACCAGTTTAGATTAAGGAGAGGATAATCTAGAGGATGGTAATTATAGTCTTCACATGAGCAAAATTTGAGAAGGTGACATTGGTTTGAGTTATGGTGGTGGATGTAAGGACTGAAGAGGTTAAAAATAGCAATGAAGTTTGTATGTGTATAGTCCTGAAGACTTTAAATGTAATAAAGATTCATTAGGTGTTACAACTGATGTTATCACAAACTGACTCGATACACATGAAAAGATCACAGAGGAACTTACTTCTTCCTAGTGAGTGAAAAGTGAGGAACAACAACAACAACAACAACAAACCCTTGGAATTTTGTAACTCCAATTGTGTATTAA